AACAAAGTCATGGCAAGGGACACTTATTGCTGACCCTTAGCGTGTAGTTACATGGATAAACTGGCTGATGGGGTGGATTCTCCCAAAGCTGTCAGAACAGATAATCAGTTGAAATTAAGTTACTCCAGAATGGAGACATGCAGTGAAGAAGCACAGGCCATGGAGTACCTAATTCTCTATGCATTTTTGGCAGGTTTGTGTTTTACTGAAGATTATTCAGAGCCACCTGTTGGGCCCTACCACCTGCTAAATTTGGATATGATGCCTGTAAAGCTGGTGTGAAAATACAGAAAATGAAACTCTGACTTCAGGAAAAAAACTGCCAATGCCTTTGTAACTACAATTGTCTCTCACAGTTGAAAAAATACCTTTTTCATTTTGTGAAATATGTACCCTCTCTATACAAAAGTAAGCCAAGGTTAAATTCCACCACTCAGAGCTTGATTTTACCTCACGTGCCTGTTCAAATGCCTTGATTTTGATTGGAGAAGGGCCTGAGTAACCTGGTCTAATAAGACCTGCTTTGAGTGGGGTTGGATCAAAATTATAACATCTGTGCTAATGCATGAATGTGGGAATATCTTTCTTGGTCAAACATGGTAAGGAAAGGTGATCTTGCAATCAGAAAAACAATTGGTAGGACACAGAAAGAAGAGACGATTAATAGAGTCTTTATTGAAAGGTTGTTTATTTTGTAGAAAGTTTGCTTGTAAATAGCTTCATTTAAAAAAAAAAAAAAAAATCAGCCTGTATCCAGACAAATTGCTGCTGAAATACTCCATCTGGTTAGTCACAGCCCCTTACCACAGGAAGGAAGGCTTTTCTCTCTTCAAATCCAGTGCCTTCTCAGTAAGACATTGATGCCTTCTGGAGTTAGAAAATCCTCATGCGTTTCTAACTTAGTAGAGACCTCTCAGTTTATGCCCTGTGTTCTGCCTGCATCATGCTTATGTTGGACATGCTTTGGAAACAAAGGTAGTTTGTGTTTAAGTTAATAACTCCCCCTGAACTGTCTTAGATAATAAAGCCTTGGGTCCTGCCAAGAATGTCCATCAAGAAAGACTCCTCTTGTGCAAGCAGCAGCTGCTGCATTGAAGTCTCCAAACTATTGGTAATGAACCAACACCCAAGCAAATCCATACTGTTTGCTTCAAAAATAGTCACTAAGTTTGTTTTGAAGTGAAGGAAACCAAGTTCTTAAAGCCACATTTCAGTGACCTAATACCATGCTTTGAACTCAGTCTGTAGTCTGAAATGGAGCAACTCAGCTCCACTCCCCTCAGAGGGGAAAGGCTTTTGGGTGTTTGAATACTGCATTTTTTAGTCTGAACTGCAGAACAAAATCCAACAGGAATTAAGAATTCACGGTAGCCACCTGTTCTCTGTTCTAAGGGTCACGTCCACTTCTCTGACTTCTAATTTCTAGTAAAACATGGAGCATAGAAAAGAGAAACAAGACTGAATCTGCTTCTGGAAGATTGGAAGGCAGCAGCAGGAGCCATTTCCTGGGATGCCCCATTGGCAGGGTGGGCACTGTGCAAGTACCTGAGTAACTCTGAACAGCTCACTGCAGGCTCAGCAAAGCAGCACCTCTGTTGTGAATGTGAGTTGAGCACTTTAGGAAATTGTCCCAGAAGGACATAAAGAATTTATTAACCTACTTCTTGCACAAAGGAGTTTGTGCTCACCTGGTTTATCTGAAACTCTCATACTGACAAGTTCAAGTCCTTTCCTTCCTTCTATTACGTGTAGTGAATGTAATTTGCGCCAATTATAATATGGTATATGTAATATTTAGTATTTTTTGGAAAACACACGTCTATATTAGAAGCCGCTCCCACATAGATAAAACTCAGTCTATGTTGAAACCTCATTTGCAAGCAAATGTATGTGGCTCATCTAGAGATGGGCCATATATGGAAGCCATATGGGGACGCCCAGGCGCTGATCATCGCATCAATGACCAGAGACTGATACCATGAAAATCCTCTGGGCCAATACATGTGAATGCTAGATCCCTGTAACTACATCAGGAGATTCATCAACACCGGACACTGAATTGTTCCACCCCAATGCCAAGAAAAGAAATTTCATCCACATTTGAGACTCTGAATGGGAAGAAAAGGATTAATTGATGAAACCCTGGCCTCGGGCAGAATTTTCCCCATAAAAACCGCTCATACCAGGAGGATGGTGTGGGGCATAGAGGGAACCTCTGCTGAGGCTGTCTCCTCTGTTGCACACCCAGCGCTGACCCTGGGCTTGGCACTGTTCTTTCCTTGTGGCCGGCTAGATAGAATTTGATATAAATATTTTATTTTTCATTTTAATTTGGCTGGACAAATTTTCATCTATAACACTTTCCTCCCTCCCTCCCTCCCTCCCTCCCTCCCTCCCTCCCTCCCTCCCTCCCTCCCTCCCTCCCTCCCCTCCCTCCCTCCCTCCCTCCCTCCCTCCCTCCCTCCCTCCCTCCCTCCCTCCCTCCCTCCCTCCCTCCCTCCCTCCCTCCCTCCCTCCCTCCCTCCCTCCTCCCCTCCTCCTCCCTCCCTCCCTCCCTCCCTCCCTCCCTCCCTCCTTCCCTCCCTCCCTCCCTCCCTCCCTCCCTCCCTCCTCCCTCCCTCCTCCCTCCCTCCCTCCCTCCCCCTCCCTCCCTCCCTTCCTCCCTTCCTCCCTTCCTCCTTTCCTCCCTTCCTCCCTTCCTCCCTTCCTTCCTTCCTTCCTTCCTTCCTTCCTTCCTTCCTTCCTTCCTTCCTTTCCTTCCTTCCTTCCTTCCTCTCCTTCCTTCCTCTCCTTCCTCTCCTTCCTTCCTTTCCTTCCTTCCTTCCTTCCTTCCTTCCTTCCTTCCTTCCTTCCTTCCTTCCTTCCTTCCTTCCTTCCTTCCTTCCTTCCTTCCTTTTCCTCTTTCTTTCTCTCTCTTTTCTCTTCCTTTCTCTCTCTCTTACTTTCTTTCTCTTGCTTGCTTTCTTGCTTCCCCCCTTTCTTTTTTCCATTGCTTGTCCAATTTCTTGCTGTGAGATTTTCTTTGCAAGAATGAGTATGAATGAAAAGAACAGAACATTGTCCTGGATTTGTACAGTAGAAAGATATAAAAGGGAGAAAAGCAAGTCCACTGCACTGAAGCATTCACAGCTGAAGATACAGGAACCTGTTGTATGTGCAGGCACTGGTAGAATAAATACACAGTGACACTCAAATCCTGACACCCAAACCCCACTGCAGGGAAGCCAGAGGAGAGATTTGCCCACCTGCCAGTATGTGACTACCCTGGCATCTCCAGGGCTTTCAGTGACTGGGAACAAAATGTGGTTTTGCCTGTGCCATTTTCCTGGTGTCCTCTGCCTGGAGGCCTAAAGGCCTTGCCTTTTGAATGGCATGGAACCCACAAGCAGTTTTTACTCACTCTAATTTACAAAGATGTTCTGAAGGTATCCAGCTGATTACTGGAGATCAAATCACTGCTGTGATAACCTGCATTGTGCATCTGTATTGTGTCACTGATACCCACCGTGATGACAGGGGAAGGGTTGCTATTTGCTTTGGCTTCATCTCGCAAGAGCTTTAGGTATTTCTCACCTACAATCAGACTTGTTAAGAGCTTAAGGCATAAATCACCTGGGAGAAGAAAATTCAAAGTAGAGCCCATCAATTACCAAAAAGAAAAAACCAAACAACTCCTATTGATTAAACTCAACACAAAATGTTTTCTCAGTTCATTCCAAAGCAAGGAATATGGTTTTTAAAATAGTTCAACCAAATGCCACCTTGAAATTAATTTGATTCAAAGCTAACTACAGCCAAAGTGGGCTTTTCATCAGACATACCCAATTTTTGCCTGTTATCATTCAGTATGAGGTCTCTTGTCATCTGAAAAGTTTTATCTAACTGTGCCCACTGCCCTGGTGCAAAGTACCTATCCCAGATGCCTAACAACCTGGAGACATGGTCACGATTAGAGTGGCCCCTTGATGTTCTGTGCTATTGTTGCTTGTTCATGTGAACAGCTGTCTCTGTTTCCCACAGGTATTTTGCTTTCTGCCCAGGAGCAGTGAATGAACCACTTCAGCTGAGCTGTGAATTACAGCCCTAGAATGAGCAAGGATCCTGCACAACAAGAGCACCTGATCTAATCTTTCCTCTTCCTCTGTGCTGAGAGAAAGTCAAGGTAAATTCATGTTGAATGTCTAAGTTCACCCAGTGACTGACAAGACCTCTTTTAATCGATCCAGTACGAGTGATGATCCCAACCAACACAGCAATCATTGTGTACAATGTATGTCACGTATTACTGGAAATGTGCATTTGTGACCCATCTGTATTACACCAGTGGCTGTGATGCTGTTTTCCTATCCCTGCTCTGAGAGGTAACCTTTAATAAAGTAGCAGAGGTTTTGTTTTTAAGAGCTTGTGGTCAAAGCAAAAGAAGTGGGAATGGTGGAGGTACAGACAGGGAGACAACTAAAGAGACTTCATAATTTTGAAGTATCTAGGCAGAATTTATGGGAAAGTTCCTGCAAACCACTTCTGCTTTTAAAGGGTCTGCTCAAAACCACATCTTTGGAACAGAGATAGACCAGAGATGAGACCTTAGTAGGGATAGGGAAATAAGGCCTTCCCCTCCTCATTAGCTTACATTTGAAACATTCACTTTGTCCAACATTTCTGCTGCCCTAAGGTGAGGATTTTTGCAACTACTGTCCAGGAGAGTAGGCAGGAAAGCTGTGCTTGTTGATGTGAGATCTTTTCTTTGGGAATGGCTAAAGAGAGTGAGCTGGAATCCTCCACTCCCCTCCCAGGTGGTACATGGTGATTAGTTCCAAGTTCATATTAAATAGGGTCTCGGTGAACAAAAGCTGATTTTTAAAGAAAACTTGTACTTTTAGAGAGAGTTATTCTTTGCCTGCATGGAGACACAGGATGCCTGGTGCAAGCAGCACAGAATCCGAGTTTGCACACTGTCCATCTGCCCCATGGTGAGTACCCTCGGTGTTTTTTGTGTGGTAAGGCAGGAGCAGCTCACAGCAGTTTTGGGTCACTGTTCAGTCAGAGACTGGAGAACATCCCCATGTGCCACACCAGGTTGGGCTCCACCACAAAGGCATTCACCCTTGCCCCGCAGAAGAGAGTAGAGGGCTGTGTCCTTGGCAAAGCCCTGGCAGCAACACAGTCCCCACACGTATACCAAGGCCCAGTGGGTGGAGGCAGTGGGGAAGAGCATGTGGGCATGCAGCACTCGCTGTCTGGCACCATGTTGTAGAGCACCGGGTGCAGGCGGCGCAGCTCCAGCCCATAGTGCTGCCCCACCAGCTCTGACAGGGCCATGCTGTACAGGGTGAAGAACGCCACCAGGCACCAGCTGGGGCCTGCCCTCCCCACAGTCCAGCAGTATGCACAGCTCAACACTGGCCCCAGGAACATGCCCAGGCCCAGCCACCCCAGGATCCTTATGGGCTTGGGGTTGAAGTAGTGCTGGAGCCTCTTGGGTTGGTACAGCTTGAAGTAGAGAATGTCTCTGAGGTAGGGCTTGGAGAACCAGGCTGAGAAGAGGTGCTGCAAGACACAAAATATCTCCTCCTCTGGCACAGCACCATCTTCTCTGAGGAGGATGTACTCTGGGTTGTACACTAACAGTGACTGCTCCAGGCTGAAGACATAGTCCTGCTTCTCCTCTCAGACTGGTTCAAGCTGGGGTCAGGATTCTCTCCAGTTCTGTCACGACTGACCATAGGAAAGAACCTGCTCAGCAGCCTGACATCCTGATGGCTGCTGGGGTCTGACTCCACGTTACAGAGGAGCATGAAGTGGCTCTGAAAATGCGCCCCATATTTCTGGAAGAGGCGGTGGAAGTGGGAGGCCACTTGCAAGACATAGTGGAAATTATTCTGCCAGCAAAGGCTGGAAGATATCACTGCCAGAGGCCTCAGAGGCATTTGGGATCTGCATCTCCTCAAAGTAATGGAGGGCATCCTGCCCCTCCTGCTGGTTCTCCTCCAGGAACTCCTAGCTCATGGGGTTCAGGTGCCAGCGCCGCAGGTAGAAGTAAGAGTGAAGGAGACGGTGGCAGATCAAAGGTGCCAGCACACAGAAAGTCACCACAGTCAGGATGAGGAGATGGATGAAAGGGCTGGACCAATGGCACCACTTCCCACAGAGCTGCCAGGCTCAGTGTAACATAACTGCTTCAGAAAGAGGGCACTCCTGCACTGCTTAGGCCCTCAATCCTTCACTTCCAAGGCATCCTTCTCCCTGGACTGCAGGATACCACTGGGGCCATTGCTGCCAAACCGACACAGGCTGTCCAAGCCTAGAAAGGAAGAAAAAAGGATGGTTACTGAAATAGGAATTGACAGAGAAAATAGAAGGCAGGGGACTAGTCTCTGAGTAAGCTAAAATGCAAGGCCTCTGTGGAATCCCTTATGGTGGAGGCATCACAGAATAGTCCTGGGAGGTTGAGGACAGATGAGCCAAACTTAGTTTCCAGCAAAAGACCGCTAAGGCATTTTAGCACAAAGGAACTCTGATCTAATCAAGCTCAAAATGACTTTGTGTGTTTGTTACTGTGCTTCAAACACAGGCAAGGTGGATGCAGGATATGTGGAAATCCCTTTCTGTTAAAGGCACAGAACTCAAGAATTTCCATCTGGTGACAGTGACATAACAATGTTTAGATCACAGACACGAAGCAAAGACAGATGTTTTGTATCTTAGTCTAGCACATATTGGAGACACAAACTTTTACCTCTTTGGAGGCACACATGCTTCCCTCCTGCTGCTCACACACTTCCAAATGTGGTTTTTTTCACTCTCTTCCCTCGAGGAAAGTGTGTATGCTAAAGATAATGTGTGTGTCTCTTTCCCTCAGATGTCTCCTCCTTAAGAGACCCTGTGAAATAGATGGGCACAGCAACATTAACATGTTGTAATTAAGCCATTTACTCCTACTTCTTATCTAGAAGAATGCAATTTAAAAGTATATGCCTTGAATTTTAAACTGAAATATTCTGATAAATATATAATATTTTTGTACACACATATACACACACACTTTAAGCAAACATTCACTTTCACACAAGTTAGATTTAGCCATATTTGAGTTTTCTGTTCTGTTTCTCTGGCTGCCCTAGACATCTCACGGCCTGGTTTTCAGAAGCTTACACAAAAATCAGGGCAATTAGACTGTTCACATGAATTTTCTTATGTCACTCATCTTGCTTTTAATCTGCTGGATTGTTCCTGGAAAAAACATTTCCTACATGTTTCAAAACGGCAAAATTTTAGATTCCTCCAGAATATAAGAGAGACCATCTGCCTTCTCCTTCCTTTACTACGAGACAAAGAAACAAATTCCTGTACAATTACATTATTAAATTACCCCTTTTGGCCTATCTAAACTTCTTCTCAGTGTCAGTGAGAAAAGCCATTTCTTTCCTAACATAAAAACAGCTGGATGAAGTCATTTGGTCAGAGCCATAGAGTCATCTCTTTACAAAAGAATGAAAGAGGGAAACAAAGGCAGGTCTTGGAAAATGTCATGGAAATGTCATGGGCTGTCACAGTCCCAACTGGGCCATAGCAGTGGTTGGAGTCATGGAACTCACACAAGTGGTCCTTTACACTTTTCATCCTATAGCAGCACCCAAACTGAAACTTTTGTGTGAAAAGCTTTTCTACACCCCAGCCTTACACCATGCAGAAAAGTTGCCAGCTCAGGACCAGCTTCTCTGCTGATGAGTCCTCTCTGGCAGAAACAGAGCCTTTGTGGGGCTGTGTGGGAGGCAGGCCTGGGGACAGCTGTCTGGGGTTGCCCTGGGAAACCACTAATGTATAAGACTCCCGCCTTCCCCATGTCAATCATATGTTGTGCCCTCCCCAGTTTCTGTCAGTCACTCTTTGCACCATCCCTCAGTTCTAGAAAGTTCCATGTTCTTTGGTTCTCCATTGGTTACTCTATGCTAACCACTCTTTCCCCTTATTCCCATGGGTTCTAGTTATGTTACCCCATCCCTGCTCCTCCCCTGAGCCCTCTTCCCATTGGTCCCTATGTACCCTGACCCTTCCTATCCTTCCCCTGTTATATGTCCTGACCCCTCCCCTGGAGGAGGCTCTTGGAGTCTGTTTCCCTCCCGTGCAGTGGTTGACCGGTCATCCTCCTACTTCGCCTTGCAATAAACTCATGGGAACTACAACAGCCCAAGTGTCCTCTCGTCTCTACAGTGGAAGATCGGATTATGCTATCTAAGGCCCCTGTTGACCACTCCCTCAGAAGACTCCCGGTGGGACCAAAGGTCCAGGGCATCTTTAGTGCTGTGATGAACATCTGCTCGAATCTGAGGAAGCCGATGGAAGCTTCCCAAGGAGCCATAGAGATCTCTTGTAACATACAGGCATGCTGACAGGGAATGTACATATATCCTCAAATTCCAAAACCTAAGGTCTCTGCCATGAGCTGATCCCTATTACTGGGCCGATGGCCAGCTTTTCTTATCTGCAATTCCTCTTGTTTCTGACAGCTTTTAGTAGGTCAGGTGCCAGATAATATTTCTGCAATGTGTCAGGCCCCCCTTGACAACAGCAGAAGCCAAGCATCCAGAGATCTGATTGTTGCACTTCCATGCCAAACTGGGAGTTGGGATCCCTAAAAAATACAAACCATCCCAGCAAGAGCTGTGCTGCTAAAAAACATTCAGAGGAACCTTAATGGTAAGAGACCAGTAGTTTTTTGATTGTATTTGCAGGTACCAAATATATCTCTCACCTCCTCAAGTACTGCTGAAAGCAACTGTTCTTTTGTTGTTCATAAATGACAAATGGCATCTGTCATTTTATCATCAGATAAGCCAAGCAAAGATTAGGGCTGCTGCACTTAAGCTTTCAGCTCCCTTAGAACTGATGTAACACTGTTACAGATTAATGACAGCTTGAAGTGTAAGAGACGTGGCTAGAGAGGGGCAGAGGACTTGGCTCTTAGGAAAAGTTATGTTGTGCGTGAAACAGAAATTGAAGGTGCTGCTGTCTGTTTTGATCTGCCATTCCTCAGGGCCTGTCATTGAATGTACAGACCTCTTTGGTCCAAGGAGATGGAATTTAAGCATCATTGGAACAATAAAAATGCACAAATATGTGGGGTGTAACTGTGACCAATTAGGTAACACCAGAAACTGCAGACTTAAATCTTGAATATAAATTTCATCATAGGCTGGCTTGCTATTCCCATCAGACTGTAGTTAACTTTTACAGTTGTTCATAAAGACCCATGATGCACAGCTTGAAAGCTACTGAACTAAGAAAGGAGGGACATAGCTGTGGCAGGTGAATGACACTTTGCCCATTTTGTTTGAACTAAGGGGATAAGACTATGCCACCAGAGAAAGAGGCTGTGAACTCAATATATATTAATTGCACTTATTTCCCCAAGTTCTGTCTTGTTTCTCATGTGTATTAATTTTCCTCTGTCACATAAACCTGAACGGAGCCCATTTCACCTAGTTGTGCTCCCTGCAGGCCAATCCCATGGGAAAGCAATGCTACCTCTGTTGCTACCCAGCAGTCAGATCAGATGAAGTGGGAGTGGAGAAAGTTTACTACTTGTTTTACTACTTGTGCCTGAGGAATATTCACCCTCTTTCTCCCCTCTCCCAAACAACGCATGAACCAGAGTGTTTCTCCTGCACAAGAAGGGGTGGTGAATGGAATTGCCTTGGTTCTGGGGGATCCTGGTGATATGCTTGAGCCCCAAGGGGAGAAAACGAGGTAAATGCAGGAGCTGAAAAAAAAAAATCCGTGGTACAATTAGTAATGCCCTTGTTGGACAGACAAGAAATCAGCAGGTTTCACATGTGCAGGAGGATGTTCCTCCTGGTTTTTGTGCTTGCAAATGCTTGCTGAACTGATGTACCCCGATGGTTGTACATAAATTATTTTCTCAGTGACTGCAGGAGAGAAGCCAGCCTAGGAACCTGTAGTGTGCATCAGCATTTTTCATGTTTTGCTGCATCACAGCACAACTGTAGATTTCCTCAACAGCCTTTGATTCTAAATGTCAGCGACTTCTGCCATTGGGTTTCTTAGCTGCTCCTCACTACCTTCAGGTAGCACAAGGTAGCACAACGTAACCTGTAAAGCACTGGGATTAATAGCAGTTACCTCAGTGGGGAGGGTCAAAGAGGAAAAGGGGTGTTAGATAAGAAATGCTGGTCCCACCTCCACTCTCTGGCCCTCCTTGCAGGACACACACAGGACATTTCAGTGTGCCCATGATAGTAAAAGGGTTTTAAAATCATGGGAATTTGGGGGCTGGAGGTAAAATTAAGCTTAATAGGCCCTGAGAAAATACCCTGGGAAAGTGTAGGCCTTGTACCTTGCTAGAACTGCACCTGTGTAGCTAGTACATGATAAATGATATAATTGTTAGATGTGATGATTGTTTAGTAATTAAATATAATTACTGTTTAATCATAAGACTAATGAGAAACTGTGGTCAGAGGCTTGAGAAAGATCACGAGAAACTCATGCTTGAATAAAGTCAATGTATACAATAGAACAATATAAGGTTAATAATTAATATGTAAGTTTTATAATGATAGAATATAAAATACGTTCAGCTCGAAAGCCATGTTGGAATCAGATTTGGGTCTGTACCCCTGATTCCCAGAGCTCTTGAATAAAAGCACCTGCATATAATCACATCCAGTGATTATGTGTGTTCCTGAATGCTAACACCCAGTCCTCAGCTCCTTGCCCGGATTTCAGACTAGAGAGATTCTCGCCACGCATCTGCCTTGGGCGAGGGCTTCTCTGGGTGGCACAGAGCAAGGCAGAAGCTGGCTGGCTTCTCCGCCGTTCCCTTAAGAATCCACTCACCTCCCCTAAGGCAGGGGCCGTTTCTTGAGGCATGCTTGTCCTCGCTCATCGCCGTGTACGAGCATATCACTGGAAACAAGCACAGAAAACATCTCCTCGATCCCTGGAGGGTTCCCACCTCCTTGCTGGCTTGGGTGCCGCAGCCACAGCAGCCAAGCCCAGCCCTGATGAGTAGTTGTGGCTGCTCATCAGCCATAACTTCGTGGGCCCCCTTTCCCCGTTCCCCCAGCCTCGGAGCACCACCCGCCCCCTTATCCCCCACAGTGGAAAGGGAAGCATCCCTCCGGGACAGCCCGATCCCAGCGGGCCATTTACCGATCCGAGCGGGAGAGTTACCCGATCTGCTGAACAGCCCCGCGCGGCCGCTCCCGCTTCCCTCCGTGCCGCAGCTCCGGTCCCGCCAGGATCCTGCTCTCGGCGTGTGGCTCACTTCTCTTCTGCTAATTTCTCTCCTCCCTCTTGGGAGCTGGGGATGGGATTAAAGGCATCAAAGACCAAACACGTGACGCCGCCAGCACAGAGATGCTCAAGGAAGGAGGGGAAGGTGAGATGACTGGAGGGGGTCACTGCACACCGGAGAGGGGACCAGTCCCTTGAAGCAGGTTCAGGAGTAAATCCCAAGCCCCAGAGGGACTCCCGGGGCGAGGCAGCTGCTCAGCCAGAGCTCCTCATTCCTGCTCTGCGGTCCCCGAACGCTCCTTCAGGAGCGGCGGGACGACCGCAGGGACAGCGCAGCTTCCCTAGTCCTCTCAAGTCAGGGTGTCACATCTGCCCGTGTCACCACGGCCACGTGTCATCTTTAGTGGATGTCACTTCTGGTAGGTGTCACTTTTGCCAGGTGTTCCCCTCTGCCCGTGCCTCTGGGGCACTGCCCTCCCCCACCGGGACCTGCTGAATGCTTCGGACGCCTCACCTCACTTCCAGGAGTGAACTCGAGCAGAAAGACCCAAGAGTCACCAGCAGGTTCTTTATGTGCGTGTCACCGCTGACAGGTAAAAGCTTTCATAGTCAGCAGCAAAGTCTTCACAGGTGTATTGGCTGAAGTGGGGAGGCTCATCAACTACACAAAGATTTATATTATGCTGTTTAGGATTCAAACATTTTATCAAACTGCCCCAAGACTTGTCTCTAACCGGTTCACTCTCCCTCCCTCTCACACACCAGTGCTTTTCTCTGTGTTCCACTTCCCTGTTCTTATACACCCACACCCTTCAGCCCTGTGACCATAATACCTAACTAACTAGTTACCTGAAAGATGCTTCAGGGAAAGTTTACTGTCTGTTACTGTATTTGAGGTTTTGTAGGTCCTTTTAATTTGGAATAGAGTTTTGGAACAGGTAATGGGTGATGCTCAGCACACCCTGGTCACAAGGCTGTGCATTTCCTGTTTATAGGAGACTCAGTCCATCCAGGTCCCCTTTTGTGGCCACAGCCTGAGCATACCAACTCTGCAAGCTCAAAATGGTCTTCTTTCTAGGCTGTTTCTTACACAACTTTTTTATTCAGTTCATGTCCAGGTCTTTGGTGGTTTCTTCATACCAGGCTCCCCTCTGCTTATGCTAAGAACATGTGCACATCCTTTTCAAGAAACACTCTGCTTCAGTCATTCCAATTCTTACCAATTGTAATTTTTGAAGTGCTCAACTCTTTCTTGCAGCAATGGCAAGTGAAGGACTGAGAGGTTTAGGAAAAAGCAGCTGTATTTGTCACAGTCCTGACTCTAAGTAATTGCAAATTGTTGCAAGACTCTCTGTGGTTCTTCTGCACTGGCTTTGGACTCCTTGGCTCTCCCACTGTTGCATTTCAGACTAGCAAAAGTTTAGTAGAAGTAGTTCGGCTAAGGCTTAGAATTCTTAGTAGGCCTGTGGTAGATAGGGACAGGCGAACGGAAGATCTTGGGATGTGACGGAAAGAGAGACCCTTCCCCCTTCTCCCTGCTTCATGTTAATAGATAACCACAGAGCATGTAACCACACCTAACCCAGTAGTTTTCCACTCCTGACTAACCCTAGAGACCCTACAACCCCCCTCTGATGTAGCAAAGTCCCCCAAGACTATTTAAACCCATGAAATAAGATAATAAATGCTTTCGACCGTCCACCACATTGGTGTCAGCGTGTGTTGTTAGTCCGAGTAGCCCGGGCGAGGCTGGGCTGCCGTGCTGTCGTCTTGTAACCAGGTCGCCGTTGTCTTTCATAAAGGCAACATATCTGGTGCCAAAACCCGGGAGAAGAAAAATTCGCTCGGGTAACGGGATACGCCTGGACAAGGGCAGCGGCCGGAGCGGTCAGACCGTATCTTGGAGCAGGGAGACGTCCCAGGACCCGCGAGCGTCATGGACAGCATCGCCAGGGTCATAAGTGTGATTTATAAGCCGTGGGGTATCGAGTGTAAGCTCAAAGACTTTTATCTTGCTATAGCAAGATGAGCTTGGGGCGACTGAAAGCCCAGTGGATGCTATGCATCCGGGAATATGGGAAAAATGCACAGCCACGCTGGCCAAGGACACGAAAACCTCAGGCAGTGGCAAGAGCCTTAAGGCGTGGGGCAGAGTAGAGAAAGCCCCGCGCAGAGCAATAAAAAAGCAGGAGACATGGAGCGCGGCGCGTACGTGTTTGTTAAATAGACACGGGCTCAGGGTGAGAGCAAGAACGCATACCGCCCCTGAGGACGATCCACCCGGGAGCGGAGATCCAGGGGGGTCCCGGCGCGTCACCCCCCTCCCCGGGCCAGAGGCCAGTCCCTGCCGCGGAAACCCCCCAAAAAACCGCAGCTTCCCCGTCCGTCCCGCTGCTGCTGGTCCGCGACCCGTTGCCGGAGGTGCAGCAGCGCGCAGAATGCTTCTGGCAGGAGCTGGCGGGGGAAGCCAGAGTCACAGAAACCGCGGCTCGGGAAGAGACCCTACCCACGCTGCCACCTCACCCCTTTTAAAATGGCACTGGCCGCCAAGGAGAGGGGCGGGGTGCAGGCGGTCTCGGCGCGAAAACCCGGGAGCCGCGCGGTTTCAGGGACGCGTGTGCGCGGAAGAAAGAGGAGGAGAGCGGCAGAGGGCATGGACCCAATCAGCAGCCGTGCCGGACGCCGCTACCATTTAAGGGAGAGACCTCCCCCTGCAGGAGGCAGGGCGAACCTGGGGGGCGGGAGTGGGGCCACCCCTGCGGGGAGGAGCGATCTCGGAGCCGGACAAAAAGGCAGCAAGCCCTGGAAGTGCGCCGGCATTTGACTTCCGACTCGGAGTCCGGCAGCAGCTCTGCCGGCTCCGAAGAGCTGATGGGAGCCGGCTGGAACTCTGAGACGGAGGAAACGGAGCCAATGCGATTTAAGACAAAACCGAGTAAAGCTTTAAGACGCAACGAAAAACAACTACAATACAAACCAGCCCAGTTTACCGACTGGGGAGTAATAAAAATAGCCTGTGCTGAATGGTCCCCAGCGGCTGCCATACAAGCCTTTCCGGTGAGGCTCACCGGCCTGGAGGGGAACCAACAAAGGGTATATACCCCGGTAAACCCAAAAGATGTACAGTCAATTGTCAAAGCCATTGCAGAAAAAGAAATCAATTCAGCCATAGTCTCCACTTTAATCGACGGTCTTTTTAGTAATGACGACCTGCTTCCCTTTGATATCGAGCAAATAGGTCGCATGATACTTGATGGTGCAGGAATTATTGTGTTCAGACAGGAGTGGGAAGATAATTGTAGGAAGCTATTAGCCCAAGCATCTGGCGCGAGGCAGCCACTACGCAGATCGAGCTTATCCAGACTGATAGGAAAGCATGATGATATGATCACGCTGCAGCAACAAGCCACGCAGATGCAGACTGAGGAGGTCAGGGCGACCACTCAGGCTGCCAGGGAGGCTATTCGCGCAGCCTCTCGAGTCGTGGCTAAGCCGGCGCCGTGGTCCACCGTGAGGCAGGCAGAGAGCGAAAACTTCACGCAGTTTGTGGATCGCCTGCAGGCAGCGATAGACTCCTCTACCCTGCCGGCAGAGGCAAAGGGCCCCGTGGTAGCTAACTGCCTGCGCCAGCAGTGCAACTCTGTCACCAAGGATATCTTACGTTCCCTGCCAGCCGGAGCCAGCCTGGCTAACATGATCAGACATGTAGTGAGGGAAGAGCACCTGACGCCCATTCAGGGAGCCGTCCACACCCTGACCAATGCCATGGCGTGCTTCAAGTGTGGTGAGGCAGGTCACATCGTGGTGAGCTGCCCCCAGCCGGCATGGCAGCCCGCCACGGCGCCTCCACCCCAAACACGCCCGCGGGGATCCTGCTGGGGCTACGGGAGGAAGGGGCATCTCATTAAAGAATGCAGGTCCCGGGCCCAGGGAAATGGGACAGGGAGGGGGCGTGCGGGCTGCACTCAGCCTCCTCCCGCTGCGAATACAAGGCAGCCCACCCATGCCAACCCCCAGTGGGGTGGGGAGCCCTTATACCCCATATCCCCACAGGAGGCAGCCAGCTTCATACCCCCGCCAGCGACACAATTGCAGAGTCTCGCAACACAACCCGCGGTACCCTCGTACCCACTACCACTGCAAGCAGCGCCTGTGCCACAGGGTCAGCAGGGGGCGCCCCAGAGAGGGACCCCGTGGTGGCCCTGGCCATGAAAATAGGGAAGGAACCCCCGAGGGTGTGGGGGACATGCCGCCCCTATGGCAGTCAGGACCCCCATGTAATAGGGCTTCAATTTTGGGCAGACACAGGAGCAGACTGCTCGATCTTGTCCCAAGCCCTGTGGCCCCGACACTGGCAATGCAAAGAGGTCCCCCCAGTGAACGGGGTGGGAGGGCTGTCCTGAGCTTGGAAAAGCACCCAATTGGTAGCTATAACACTGCATACAAAGAAAGGGCCAGAACGAACAGTAGCAATCCACCCCTACATTTTGCAAAACTCTCCACCCCTGATAGGAAGGGACATCCTTGCTATGTTAGGAGTCAGGATTACAAATTTATAATGAGGGCCACTGCTGTACACCCACTGCTGCCAATCAAACTGACTTGGAAATCACCAGACCCCATATGGGTTGAGCAGTGGCCCCTGTCAAA